GAGATCTGACAGCTGGATACTGAAAGATGACAAATTCAGGCTCAATATAAGAGGTACTTTTTAACAGTAAGCAATTACATTTTGAACAATTTGGGCGGATTCTTAATCTCAGGAGCTTTCAAATCAATGCAGGATGCTTCTTCTAAAAACAGCTTTAGTTCACACAAGAACTTGAGGAAGTCTTGGAAACAGTGCTCTACAAGAGAGCAGACTGAACACATGGCATTTCCTTCTGCCTTCTGAATCAGATTACACTGGAACAGTTAAATTTGTCTCATGGACGTACCTCAAAGGAGGTAAATTTAAGAAGGGAAGTGGGCATGAGCATTTTGGACACATTGGACCATGCAATACAGTTGGGGGTGCATTACACCATAGCCTAAAAGCATCATCCCCTAGGTACAGCAAGACTGTAAAATTGTGGGGGGAGGGAGGGACCCCATGCTTGTGTACCAGAAATTATGAAAATGAGAGCAGTAGCAGCATGCTATGTTCAATCTAATCGATGCCAGAAATTTTGCATGCCAGGAGATTGCTCAGCCCAAGCCTGGAGAGGTACTGCTCCTTTCAGACTGTGTCATGACAAAGAAAAACAAGACAAATACAATGTACCTGAAAGAAGCAATTCACCTTTTCGGCATCAGTAAAATAAAGGTGAACAAGCCTGACATGCTGCAGATAGACTTCACCATGTAAAGAAAAAAGCTAGTCAGAAGAGACACAGACCTGAAAGTTTCCTGCATGAATTGTACCCATATCTTTTACGAATCCAAAATTTGTAAACACAGAGTTTCCAGTTTCAGAAAAGTACATCAAATGAGGGCACTCATTGTTGGATACAAAGCAATGAGATTCAGGTTATTGCCCTGGCTAATGCCAAGAAAGAGCTTTAAGCAGAATCTGTTGTATCTCAGACAAGATCTCATGTGATAAGGCTGCTGCATGTTTTGGGCATGGCTACCTAGCTCTCACCCCAAGAGTCATCTTTGAACAAAGATGTAAAGACAGCCACATTTTGAAGAAATGTGATTTAGTGGAGAGCTGGTATACAGATTTAGTTGATGAAGGTTCTTCAAGAGAGAGTGTAAAATTTTTCACTCAAGTAATTCTTTCAGTAGCCAAGATCCTTACTTTACAATTCAGAACTTCTGCATACCCAGCTGACAGGATTAAGATGCAGCGTAGGAGTTCACCCTGCACAGACGGTGAGCATAATGTACAGTCATCACAGAGACAGCAGCTCAGAGATGGAAAAATCCTTCCAGGTTGTTCATGACAGATCTATGGCAGTGGTCACCCACAGCAATATGTTTTTAGAGTTCTGTACAGCCTCTTCTATGCATGCTCCTCCCAGAGACCCTTTAATTCATACACACTCCTTAAGCTCACATGACTTTCTTCAGAGAGATATATCATAGTATCACTTTTGGATTTGCACTTTCCCACATGGCCAACATGCTGTTGTGGAGTTATGTTTAAAGCACGCTTTGGAACCAGGGACTTTGCAGATTAACAGCACTGAAATAACGCACAAACTTTTCAAGTATATACTTTATTTCATTCATATTTCACAGTCTGTTTCTGTAAAGTTTTAGCAAAAAGGTCATGTTCCATAATAGAGTTCTTAGGCTAGTGTATTCAGAGCTAGCAACTGACTTTGAAAGTACAGAAAATATTTACATTCCAACTAGAACAGTAGAATTTCAAAAATACATAGTAAAAGTAATCAAAAATACCAACATTTATTAAAACTTAATAGAAAAACAGCAGTCTATCTGACCACCAAACTACCCTGCCTGCTAGTTGTCAGCAACAACTGATCCACAGCAGGCCACACCACTGACCCTACAGCCTGGGACAGCTGTCTACAGCTAACTTGCTAATAAAGTCTAGCTGCTTCAAAGACTTAAAAAAAAATCTGTGACTTCATTGCTCACAGGTTTCCAATCAGGGGCTAATGTTTCTGTTCAGATCTACTGGACCACTTCCAGATCCTGCTCAGAATCAGGACCTATTCTGGTCTCAACGTGTTCCCAAGCTCACCTATTTTATTACATTACAGCCAAGAAAGGAAAGCCCTTATTGTTTAAAGCTTTAACAGGGCTTCCAGGAATAAAGGCAGCTAAGAGAATCTGAACAGAATGGTACCTGATGCCATATTTATCACTAGGGGACTTCAATATGCTTTTTTTTTTTAATAGATGTTTCGTCAAGATTTGCCATCATCTAGGGATATGGCTCCTAAGGGGCCCCAGATTTATGCACAATAGTTCCAGAGGGGATTTTTCTAGTTCAGTAAATACTATTTAAGTCTGGACTGATGCCCAGTAGGAGATTTCTACCAGCTGCTGGACTTTATTCACAGATTTATTGAATATGTATTTATACAAATTACACCAGCTGAAAGGCCCATTAGCTATAAGCACACCCACTTTAGCCCACCCTCAGTGCTGTCAGGGGAAAAAATACATGTGGTACCAGGAGGTCTAGGAGAGATTTCCATCAGCTAGAGTTTCCCTAAGGCAGAGGGTATTCCCCTGCAAGGCAAGTTTTCTATTCCTTTTTCCCTATCAGAGCAGTGGAAATATGATGGAGGAGAGGTCACCAGTAGAGTAATTTTCTTCTTGTCGCAAATAGCTAGGACTGGGCTTCGTTTTTTCTGACTTTCTTTCATCTCTAGGTGGCCTGAGCCCATCATCTTGTTTTCTAGGACAACCACTTCAGAACCTCAAATTCTCCACTCTAGGCAGAATAACAATTCTAGGAAAAGTAAGAAAAATATTCTATGTGCTTTCTCATACCTCACACCTCTAGGCCTATCACAGGTATCTAAACAACGGAACCACCTCCTCTCCTTCTTGTAAGGAGCTCAGAAGAAAACAAGCTTTTCTTCTTTCATAAATGGCCTAAGGTAACATCACATCTATCCTGCCAAATGTCATATGGTACAGATATCACAGCTGATAGATTGTGTCTCCACTGGACATGCCCTACATTATTACACAGCCCTATGCTGCCTCCCGAGTTCTCTGGCTGAGTTTTGGTATTGCTGGGCTGTGAGTTATGAGACATCCTTGCACCACAACTGCAGCAGGGATAGTTACAAAAAAATACATGACAGAACACAGACTAAGAACACTTTTAATCAATTCCCATGTACTGCACTAGTCTTCAACAAGTGGCCAGATCCCATGAAAGGCATGGCTACTGGTTTGCTACAGCTCCACTGTGGTGAACCCTGCCACAGCATTTTCCTCTTGGCCCATGGCTAGTACAGTATGACTCACATGCTTCCTCTTTGTGAGACATGTACAGCGTTTCCTTTCACCAGTGTAAAAAGGGTGAAGTCCCTTACAAGAGAAAAGTCCCTTACAATTTCTCTAATGCACCTATTTGAGGAAGACTACAAAAGCATTCTCTACAGTCTTCTGCAATATTGATTCCCAGAGGCATCAGAAAATGAAAAGTTCTAGTCACAAATTAGCAAGACATCCACTCTACTTTCAAGTTTCTTTTTTTTAAGAATACAAAACAGCTAATAGAAATAATCAAAGTATCAAAAAATTCAGCCAGCTAGATGGCACGAGCTTTTAAGAACATTGTCACACACAAAGGAACATATCATAGACAATCCAGATTCCTTAATGTTCTTAGACAAAGCCATTATCTACACAGACTGCCTCTGGAAAAGGCCTTTCAGATTGGAGGGAGTGACACAGGTAAGTGTCTAGATAAACTGAAATGACATAAATGTCTGTAGAACAGCTTTTGTAACATGGCTCCTGTGGATCTTCACTAGCAAGGCCAGAATCTTACACACACAGTGTTAGCTGTATCTCAAGGCAAGCAGGCCAGGAATGACATAAATCTATGTGGAGGAAAAAAATGTTTTGGAGTTTGTTGGGATTTTTGAAGTTCAAACTTAGGTAGATAAAATTTTTAGGGAGTTTATCCAAGCTGAGACACCTCTCAACCCCCTAAATTCAGCTCATTTCTCTAAATAAGAGAAGGAAGGCGATGGGAGAAAGATCTGTTTCACCCCAGGCCACTATGCTCCTCTCATTTCACCTCTTTAATATTTAGAAAACTGATTTCAGAGAAAAAAAATGGAGTTTAAGCTTGTAAACTAAAGATAAACATATCAAATAATATGTAACTAGTCTTGCAAAATTAATCCTGGAGGATTAATATCTTTCTTGCGCCTTGTTTTTTAAAATATCACTGCAGTCTTTAATAACAACGTTTAATCTGTTAGCCACCAAGAAAATCCAAAGCCACCATGTTTGTACACTTGTTAGCCATTAACAAGCATGGCTTTGGAACAAACACTTCCAGTGCAAGCCTTGTGATTTCCACGCACTCAACCATACAGATCAAAACCAGAAGTATACTCATCAAAACATGCCATTTGACTTGGGTCCCAAGACACTCATCACTTTACCAAAGACTGCAATGAATACAGAATGCCTCTTCAGCACAAGCAGATCTCCACTAATTCAAACAAGTTAAAAACCCCAACCAAGACTCTGCTACAAAAGACAGCAACAACCTGAAGATACCACCCCACCAGTGTTAAGTTTCCTCTCTTCACACCAACTTCCTTCTTTGAACTGATGATGGCCCAACGGTGGGGCCTGTTCTGCTTTTGCACTCTCAGAACTATCTGAAGATGAGAATAGGAAGATTCTTTCTTGCAGAATACTGCACATGACTGTCTTTCCACTGCAAGAATGGGGACATGCCAGCAGAGCACATTTCAGCTTCTCAAGTCCAAGGAATCATACGGAGTTAGCATGGAGTTCAAGGTCACAATGCAGTGCTAAGTAACCATTCTGTCAAGAACTCACCATGCTATTCCAGTCCCACAACTGGCTCTGAAGACAGGTTGTTAATGGCAATGTGACTTTGCAAGTCTCAGACTCAGAAAATGCTCAAGTAAAAGCCTGAGCAGGAAAAAAGAGGCACGCAAGTAACTTGACCAACAGCTATGCACCTTTTTACTACATGTTGGGGTAAGTGGGGTCTTCAAGGTTGCTATCAGCTTTATCAGAACTTGTGAGAGATGCTTCTAGCTCTGCCCATGACTGTGGAGCATTGTTCTTTATTGCCTCTATGAAAAGCTGTGTTTGGTGCTTCAGCCGATTCAGCTCGGCCTGAGTCACCTGGTTCTGATGAATGAGCTCCTTGGTTTTTAACGTGATCTCCAGCAATCCTGACCTGCGCAGCACAACAAGTGTATTCTGAAAGCGCCTGCACTTGCTTTGCTGTTGCAAGAGCAGCTCAGGGGTAGTGCAAATCTCTTCTGGTATCAATGAGGGGCTCCACACCGCAGGCTGCATCGCAGTCGGTGACGCGCTCTCGCTCTCGTGAGAGCACTTTGTGGCATGCAGAGTCCCAAAAGGCAAAAGGGGAGTCAAACCTGGCACTTTCTGAGTGTCACTGGGAACACGATGGAAACCAGGAAGAGCTGATGGTTTTCCACTTGTCACCAGAGCTGAAGAACTTTGCTGGTTGGAATCCTGAGGGGTCTTAAAGCTAACTGGCAGGTGGGCAAAAGGACTAGTAGGCAACCCTGTGCTCATCCGTACGGGGGAAGTCTCCATCTTGGGTGCTTCTGTGCAGAGTCGTTTATGGCAAGTGGTTTCCTGACATTCTTCTAGGTCAAAGGAGTGATCTCTTTTGCAGGGCTGTGGTGCTATTTTGGGATAAGAATTCAGGATAGGCAGGTAATTAGTGGAGTCGTTTCTCTTTTTCCCAACAGGGTGAGGATTAATGGGAGGTGGGATTGATGGACGAAGAAACACTAGCTGTGGCTGAGCTGGAATCACTTCAAAGGATGGCTGCACAGTCCAAGACTGGAGTTGTGATGAACTCCCCTGAGAAGCACAAACAGGGAAAAACCAGAAGTCTTACAAAAGCATTGTAGAAGCAGACCAAAACAATCTTAAATGGAACAGGTGGACCATGCCATTTCTCCATATTTGATATACACTGTTCAATTAATTTTCTGAACAGTTTTCCATCAAACTCATCCTTCTCTTTCTCTGACAAGAGCATAGCACTAAAATCAAAGCTCTAATCCATAATCCTTTTACTATGCAACTGCAGATATATTTAAAACCAATCCAATCTGAGTTTATACATGCTTTCCTAAATGAGGATTACAGTGCATATTTATATTGTACAGTGTTCATGTAAATGTTCGACCCAGACATGAGGTCAAACACCAAATGCATAGAAAAGTTGAAAAATAATTAAGCTTTGTGGCTATGAAATATTTTAAGAATCAAGGAAAGACAGCACAGACATTTTAGGAACAATTTGGACTCCCTCTGTTGAAAGGCAGCAACTCAGATCCTGTCGATTCTATTCTTACAGCAAGCTTTTGAAATGGTTATTTAAAATAGACAAGAGCTGTTCAGTAAGTCTTGCCATCTTAATTACAATACACAGTTTCAATAAATTTATAACCATGAATTAGAAAAAAATGCCGAATATCAACCAGTGGAAGATAAAAAAAGCCTGTTGTAAGCCCAGAGGAGTTTCACATCATACCTCTGGTGAAACAGTGCACACCAGTAAACCTTGAAAGCATTACATTTCAAGCTTTTACTCCCTCCCACAACCATAATCTGCAATAGAGGAAAATACAATCCATTTCTACAAGACATTACCTCTTCCTCCTCCAACACATTACTACAGATCTTCATGAGATCTGCCCATAAACATGCCTGCTTTTCTCCAAAGTTATCAAAGGGTCTAGTAAGAGATACTATTTCTTTCCAAAGCAAAATCTTGCTTCTTAATTTATTAACATCATCACCACTACAATTATACTAATATACTATATTGCTTTTTCAACTCCTTACAACTTGGAGCACTGCTGGCAGGACTGCTGTAAGGCACAGGTTTTAGCTACCACAAATACATTTCACTGTTTTTAGTATTCTACTCAGTCATATGAAATCCATATCCTCTCCACCAGTCTCCTAAGTTTTAAACTGGCAAATGCTAACATGCTTTGTTAAATTCCATTCCCTCAAGAAAGGACTTGAACTTATCCAAAGCAGGTACTATCCACTGATTAGGACACCGAGACTTGGACACAAGATTCCATCATCTACTCTAACATGTTTCTTTGGTTCAGTGGGCAAGATGCTTATGGAATAGGGGCACAGAACAACTACCTGTAAAGATAAATACTACTACCTTAACACAGAAGAAAGGACATTCAAAAGAAAATTATCTGGAGATGCTAGGAGTGAGGAATCATGTAAATACTGTGACTATAAATACACAGGACAGAACACATAGCCTTAAGGAGCAAGGCTTTGGTGTCAGAAGTTGCCATGTACTGCACAATTGTACAGCACCTAACACAGCAGAGCCCCACAATCATTGAGGCCAAAAGAGCTGTGGTAACTGTTTATCATAGTCTTGTTTTTTTCCTATCTCTGTTATCTACTTTCTCCTTTTCCTTCTCACATTGCACTCCGCTCTTGTTCTCCTACTCAAAATCTCATTTTCAGTAGAGAAGGACACTTTCGTTTTACTAATTCTGCAAATTGCTGTGGGTTTTCTTGCCTGTTTTTTTTTAATGAAAGCTAAGTCCCTGCATGTATCACGTGTCACTTGTCTAAAAAGCCTTCCTGTTTATTAAGGACTTTTCACAACACTTGTAGAAACCTTGACACAAGCAGCACTGTATTTTAAAGAATTAATCCCTGCTTGATTTCATTTATTTTAGTAACATTGTTGTTAGGTGTTTACAGTCTGAAACTGGGACAGCAGGTAACAGCAGGCAACCACCACTACGCAAGACCACGGTGGTTCCAGGACAGAAGGCTGAGGCTGACTGAAATCGAAACTGGAAACAGCAGTAACTGGATGCTGCTTTTCCTTTTTGTGCTCCAGCAAGCCCAGCTCAGCACTGTGTTGGAAAGACCATTTTAAAAAGATGACAAGCATGACTGAGATAACTAGGCATAATGAAAAGAGGCAGAAAGACACTTCATTATATTTCTGACCATGTCTTGTTGCTTTTGTTTATTGCAGTAAACATTTTTCAATTTAACATTACTGTTTTTAACCATACATAATTAGACTGGGATGTTGTGACACACTGCCCAAGAGAACCAAGGGTGGTAATTTTATCTACCTCCAACTCTCCCTTGCCAAATTCCCTTTTTGCTACACTGCCAGGTTTTTTAATGTATATGTATACTTTATTTTTTATCCATCTCAGCTACTTATTATTAGCTGTTTCTCCTAACCATGTGCAACACAACCTAGAGTTTTAACATTAGACTACCACTGCAATCAGTGTTCAATTTTTGAGCTCTGTGCCAAAGGCTGTATTCCCTACTATATAAAAACTTCAGCATTTGTTTAGACAGTATTTTGTCCACACATCTAGGAACACAACTATAAAATAAAGTTGTTTCTTGTCAAGATAAAGCACAATGCTGAAAGATCAGAACCATCTCCCCCACAAATGCACAATCTGCTACACACTAACAGAAACCCATATCTGTGTTCACATTGATACACTGTGTTTAATAGGTGTTGCTTGTTGTCGTAACAGACTTGGTAAAAAAGGAATCAGGATCTATATTCTTCTTTTCCACTTCTCACTGTATTCTCCTAAGTATTCTAATAAAAAAACCACTGAAGACCTTTTGCTCTGCTCCAAAAACGAGTACAGAGCAAGAGGTCTAATAATGACAGTACCTTGAACTTGGAGCTCTCACATCTTCTGTTAAAATGTAAAAGTTAGGGGTCTCACATCTGTGAGAGGAACAACACATTACAAAATGCTGGAGAACATAAACAGGGAATGTAATTGTTGAAATGTGAGCCATCACATGCAATTAAGAGAAACAACTGTTAAAGCACCACAGCTAACTACAGATAAGATTTTATTTACAATACTCTGGTTTGGTGTTTCCCATTGTATATGAAGCACCTCTAGGTCCTAAGAACAAGGAAACAAACCTATCATCCTATTTCACTATCTTTATTGAACAAAAAAGACAACAGCAGCTTTCAAAAGGAAATCACCTTTTTTTTGTTTAATTTTGATGCCCTTTACATAACATTCTTAAAGATGTATTTTGGGGGGATTCCTTGAAAGAAAGAGGTTC